CTCTAGTAGTTAGTTTAAGTTATGTACTCTATTATATATATAGAATAGTATAATATATATATATATATATATATATATATATATATATATATATAGATAGATATATAAAACTAATAGGTTAGGTTGTATAATAGCAACCACTTATCTCAATCACAAGAACGGGAAATCATTCAACAAAATTTACAAAAAATGTAATAACAGAAAGAACAGCCTAGAACTGCCTACAACTTTTCTAAACTAATGAAAAAAAAACAACATAAACAAATCACTAATAAGGAACCAATACTCCAAGAAAAAAGGGAGCAATCATGAACAACATAAACAAATCACTGATAAGGAACCAATACTCCAAGAAAATGGGAGCAATCATAAATATTCATCATTTAAAACATGTAGAGATAATATTGCGTCATCTGATGAGTTAGGATGACAAGAACCTGCACGCCTGGATGTGTTTCATGCATGAATTCAAACAATTTGTTCACAACAGTCTTTAGAAACTTCCAATGAGCCCTCAGAAACTTCGGGTATTGTCCAACAACATACCTACACGTTCGGAAACAATATCAGTATATAGTATATTTTTCAAAAAAAATTAAAAAAGGTTTGTAAGCGGCCATAAAGGTGGTGGTGGTTACTTCTAGATTATTGTGAAGAGAAGATAGCCGGGTATCATTAGAAAGATCACTGACAAAAAAGGGAAATTTTAGAATATTTTGATAGTCTCATACCATATCTTGATTCTCAGGGTGCAAAGCGAGGAAGGAAAATAGAGGCAAGAGAGAGGAGTGTTACTGCAACATTAATGGCCGTTGTGGAGGAGAGAGAGAGAGAGAGAGGAGAGAATTTCTGCAACGTTAATGGCCTATCATGTTTTCTCATCCTGTTTTTCTATCTTGATCCCTACTGCTTTTGCAACACCCAGTTCTTGTTTGTGAAAGGGAGAAAAAAGAGGAGAGAGAGGAGAGGGGCTTCTTCAATGATATAGCAGTTAGGGTTTTTCTTCTCGAGACAGTTTCTTTCTCTTGAAACACGCTGCCTCCTCCTCCTCATCCTCCTCCTCCTTGGGGCCTTCTACTTCTTCTTCTTCTTTATCATTATCATCTTGGGGTCTTCTTCTTCTTCTTCTTCTTTGTCTTCCTCTTCTTCTACTTCTTTAGGAAAAAAGAGGGAAGAGAGAGAGAGAGAGAGGAGAGGGTTTCTTCAACATTAATAGCAGTTATGGTTTTTCTTCTGAAAAGATTGTTTCTCTTTCTTGAACCCTGGTGCCTCCTCTTCCTCCTCCTCGGGATCTTCTTCTTCTTCTTCTTCTTTAGGGGAACTAAAGATCTTCTTCTTACATTTTTTAATTCTCTCTAGTCCTTCTTTTAAAACTTACGTCTTTTTACTTTCTTTTAAGGGGGCTTGCGTACTTCTTTCTAGGCCTGTACATATTTCTAAATTTTTAAGGCAGCTTACGTCATTTTTTTAAAAAAAGCAAACCCTAGGAAGGCAAAGGCTGCCTGCTGCGCTGCTTCGGATCATGCAAACTTTGTGAGATCGGGCCAACAAACCTCTGATCAATCTTTAGTCCCACCTAGCGCCCACCTTGAGCCCGCATAGGCAGGCACCTAGGGCAAAAGGTGGGCGCCTAGGCACATGGACGCCCAGGGCACCCAACTAGGCTCCTTCAGTTCGGTAGCCTGCCTAAACTACCTAGGCGGCCAGGCAGCTGAATTTTTGACATTGTAGGCTACTAATAAATACAAAACAATGACGATAGTTAACTCACATAATGTTGCTTGCAATAACAGCTTTGTTATCCTTCCCTTTGGTAATTTCACACAAGTTTAGTAAATCGCGGATGACTGTCACCAAAAACCGATTTTCCTGCCAGCATAGTATGCACAATATCAAAATAATAATGAAGCGCAACAACGACAACAGAAAAATGCAAAACAATCAACTTATGACATGATCACTGATGCAATAAATAACCAATGAAGAAAGAAAAATGCGAAATCGGACTGAAATCCACTGCCAAGCGAGCATATGCAATTATAACATCTATAAACATCTAGACATGTATCCAGATGGGGGTATATCTTCCACATGCATGTCCAAATGGCTCAAACATGCACATAGCCTTACTCATGATCCTGATTCTCATGCAAAGGACCCTACTCATGCATGTTACTCTCATGCAAACATTGCTTACAGCCTCACACATGCATAATCGCCACCCACCCATAACCAAGCACTATGCGCACCTGGACCCTCATGAAATATGCATGCAAACATAATCGTTCATTGAGCCAACACACATGCATGCACACATCCATATATGCCTACAAATACTGAATGGATGCCAAAAACATTTCCCACAAAGATTTAGAAAAATGCTGCGAACCGCTTACAGAGCAGTCATGCACAACATCAAGAAAAGTACCTGATCTTCCATCATAGACCCTGATATTGATCCAATGGCCCAGCACAGTGTGTTAAGATTGTTCCACGTCCAATCCTCTCCATTCAATTGCTTGCTTAGTTTTTTCAACATCTAAAGTACAAAGAATCAGAGTCAGCTAAGTCATTAAATAACATTGAGCTCATACATCCAGTCTCTCTTAAAGCCCTAATTCCATATTGGTCAAATAGCAGAAAAGATACCCCATAGTATTACTAAGTCAACATATTCAAATTAGTCATAGCCAACCCCAATTAGTTGGGATAAAACTTTGATGACGATGATGGTGATTCAAATTAGTTGTACAGCAACCCCGAGAGAGAGAGAGAGAGAGAGAGAGAGAGAGCAACCTTAATTTGTTGCACATTAGTAAGGTAACACCTCAGATCTCACTAAGGGAAGAAAAAACTTTTGAAGGATAATATATCGCAAAATGAAGCACCTTCTCATTACACAATGCCATGACAACAAAAGAGAAGTGAACATCTGCTCACTAGATTCACGTCATTATACTTCCAATATAGTTAAAATTGCATGTCGCTAAATCTCTTACAACTGAAATTACATTCGATTTCTATACCATTCACCATTGCCATTTCTCAAGCTCCAGAGTACAAGTACAATGGGCAAAAAAAAATGAAGCTCAAAGTCTTCATCTTCAACAGGGTTTGAAGATGAATCACAAGCAAGGATTGAAATGCAGACTAAACACCCCCCGCCCCCCTCCCCCAAAAACCGAAAAAACAAACACAAAAAAAAAAAGGATAAAGGATTGCATGCAGCAAACAAGCCACAGTTCATATTATAATCCTCAGATAATTATGAAGACAAAAGTCAAAGATAGGGGAAAAGAGGCACCCGAACCAACAAATGAGCTTCCCAAATGTTACATTGCATATTAAGATCTCAACCAAGACAAATTCTATGCAGTTGCAAAGAGATGAGATTTTGAACAGTATGTGTGAAGATTCATAATAATTGAATTCCATTGCAAAAATAACACCGTCATTAACTTTAAATTCCATAGACGATGTAGCTATTGCCCTGTAAACAATTCGAGTTGATACTGCATAGCATCTAAACTACCACCATCATTAGCTCCAATTAACCCTAGGCCCCGAGATCAATTCGACGAGAGATAAAAACTCAAAACCGAGACTATTTTTGACAAATCTGAGCTAGGTTCTTCCCAAATAAAAAAAAAAAAGGGTTTGACTGATGTCAATCAAAGGGGTTTTGATCCAATAAATAATTGGGCAGATATTGTAGAGGGCTCAAAGATGAAGAGTCTGGGAAAAGTTCAGGATAAATGGTGAAGAAATGAGGGAAAATGGATTAAAGTGGCAGATTTTTTTTAAATGGGGTTTAGAAAGATGAAACAGATCCTGATTCTTGCCAAGGAATCCCCCCCTTCTATCAGAAGAACCAAGCGAATTTTTTAACATCAAATCGTCCCGGTTCTGTAAAGAAACTAAGAAGGTCCCTTCCCGAACCAATCCAGATCTGGATTAGTGATTTTGTGGTTTATCCACTAGATGATATTTATCACCTTTAGTAAAAAAGCCTACAAGGATCATAGATTCCCTTCCCCCCTGAATTGTCCCCATTTCCTTCCTCCAATCCTTAGTTATAGTGAACATTATGGGAGTATTATGTATGGGGATAGAGAATCAGAATCCAGATGAAAGGTTCTTGCAACTAAGCTTCAAAGAATTGATAAAAGGCATCCATTCTATATTCGAATCAGTTCAATACCATCCCCATCCTCCTCCAAGAAATGACCAATGTCCATATTAACCATTGCAAATCTAATCCAACTGGAAAATCCAGGAACTTATTGTTCATATTGCATATAGAAACTAGCAATGAAAAGGCTCAAGTGAGTCCTCATATATCACAGGTTGGGCTCTAAAAGTCGAATCAGACACTAAGGAGTACACATCAAACAGTCAAATCTTCTCAGCGGCACTTATGATTCATGTGTAGCTCTTCTCAAGATTGACAAATTTTATGGGTTTATTGCCCAAAATTCTATTTATGTACAATAATTAGGAATCGACTGAACCTCATAAAATTGCAGAATAGCTCAGATCGGACACAGGATTAAACTTCTACTAGAATTACTAAAATACAGAATATGTAACAGAGGTATTCTATAATTAGTAGTAGGAATGTAGAAAAAAGAGCCAGGACTCACACAAAAGCATAATAATAATGAGATTTCATAGATTTTAGAATTAGTTACAGGAATCTTCCACCCAAGGTGGCGACTCCACCTCAGAATCTCGCTTCAGCACTTCAATCAACAAATTTCTGCAGAACCCGGTTCTTTAAATTAAGGAATCTTGCTTGCACCTTTTAGGAATCTCGATCTAAGTTATTTGGAATACAGATTCCACAGCCCTAAGTTATTTGGAATCCAAACATGATTTCCCTATTGGACCATGATAACACGCTTTAACAAGTCTAGGGTTCAAGATCATCATCATTATAGCCTTTTCCCAATTAATTGGTTACACGAATCTTGTTCCGCCATTCTGCTCTATTAAAGGCCATACTATTAGTGAGGCCATAAGTCCCCATATCTTTTCGGACTACTTCCAACCACGTCGTTTTGGGTCTACCCGTGCCCTTTTCAATCCTTCCACTTGAACTAACTCGCACCTCCTAACAGGTATTGTAATTGGTCGACACCACACATGGCCAGCCCACCTAAGTCTACTCTCTCTAGTCTTATCGCCTATTGATGCCACACCTAAATTCATTATTTCCTTATGGTAGACAAATCAAATAATTTTGCTTACTTTATTCAATCTAGAAGCTCCATTAAGCCCCAATGTTGCACTTAGGGAACTCTAGTTCCGGGATTGCAACACTTGTAGGGGAACCATGATTAAGGGTACTCAATACATCGATTCCACTATCAGGGAAACCCGTGTTGACAATCAAGGACCTCAATTCCAAGACCTCAATTCCAATATTAGGGGAATTATGGCTAAGCATATTCAATATATCAATTCTAATACCAAGAGATTATTCCTTGATAATTACTTGTGCAGTTCCAAGTGGTTGGGAGTGTGATTCCAAACAAGTAAGAATCTCAATTCCTGAGATTTGCATTGTATGGATGGGCTATACCTATATATTTTTATTTTAATTACCCAAAAAATATACCTACTCGAAGAAAGCTTCTAGCCTCACAATTCCCCACTTCCAAATCATAAAACACTCCCGGAATGCTCCCACTTCCCACAATTATGTCATAAATAAAAGGAAACAAGCTGAAATTACCAGAGAACTGTGCTGTTTCCAACAAAGTTATCTAAACCTTTCTAACAATTTCATTAGAATTAAACTCGATTCACAAAAACATAATGAGGATTGAGGACTTGAGGCCATTTCCAGAAACCATTCAATATAGCAAGGCAAGAATGCTGTTGACCTTTAATCTTAAAGGCATGTGCAGTACCAGACCACAGCGCCATCAAAAACAGAAGGAAAAATGATACTGTATAAAATAAATCCTTGATTAGTAGTCCATTTAGAGTAAAAGGAACCAGATCATACATTCAAAAATAAGGAGCATGAGCTTCAACCTAAATCATGTTACATGCTTTGTATGTAAGGCCAAAGCCTGACTAGATACTGCATATCGAAATCAAAATGCCTGCATTCTACAGTACATTTCACATGTACTCACCAAAAAAATATAAACTTCATACGTATCTAAGTATGTTTGCGTATGACAGATCTTTTAGTTCATAAGAATAATGAGCTAGCGCCAATCATTTTTTGGAAATATGAGAATCAGTTGTATTTCTGATCCATAATAAAAGTTACACCCGTGCAAGTCCAAATGAAACATGCATAAATAATCCATTTTAGATGTCCATGTATATCATTCCTTAAGCTCTGACCTAGTGGTAGATATCCAGGATCGTATGAGAGAGGTAGAGGTTCAAACCCTAGAAGTTCGTCCAATAAATTGCCCAACCAATTTTATTCTTTCCCCCACAAAAAAAATGTTGCCTGAGCATATCAAAATGGTAAAAATATTTGAAACAACATAGGAGTTAATGGTGAGCCTTCATTCATACCAGGACTACCTTTCTTTTTTGGTTGCAGGAGGTACATGTAAATCTATGTATGTTTTCAAGGGTAGCAAAATCTATCCATGTTAAGGAACATAACATTGTTATCGGGTAAACACGAAGAATCCAACATGATGCAATCAAAATGATATTCGAAAGTTAAGAATAACAATGACCATCTGGACAACATGTAGTAGTGTCAGCTCAATAAAGACAGTTTTAATGTACTAAACCTAAGTGCATACCTGCTGCTCGGTATCATCATGATCAAGGTGTGACAAGTAAATCAGGGTTTCCCTCATGATCTGTTAAAGCCAAACAATGATAAGAAAGAAGAACAAACATGCATGAGCCGATTTGATGTGGACATTAAATAAATACTACAACAAAAACCCAGAATAAACCAAAGGAAAGCCTCCATATGGTCCGCCAAATAATGAAGTAATATAGCATCTTTATATCAATAAGAAAGTGGCAAGTCCCTGGACTTCTGGCCCAACTGTGAAACATCTAGTGTGCAGGGGGGGGGGGGATCAAAGGTACCAGCCTCGAAGTTTGTCCCTCAAGCAAACTGGGTGAACCCCCATAAAAACAAAAATAAAAATAAAAAAGGAATAAACGAGGGCATCATCTTGTAAAACCACAAGGGTAACTAAAATCAGAAAGTAATATGTAATATACATCTTTAACACAGTGAATAAGCACACCTTATACTGAACAAGGACATCATTATCTTTCATTGTTTCACGAACAATATTTCCATTTTCATCTTCCACAATTAAGACCTCTTCCGGCTTAGCCATACGAGAAATCATAAGCATTCTCAATTTTGACATAGGACCAGCATAGAGTTGCCGTCTTTGAGAAAGTGCTGAACCAAGACCATCAACCATGCCAGAAAGTAGAGGCATCTACAAAAATTGTAAAAAAACAATCAACCAAAATCCAAAATGAAAAAGAGAACTACAACATTCCTTGCAAAAACAAATACAAGCAACGAAACTGAATTCAGAATAGTAAAAGAGCCATCAATACAGAAAGCAGGACCTTCATCGTACATGATAAATAAAAAAAATGCACCAAATTTACTTTTTTCCATGAATTGGAAGTTTCAAATCACAGTAAAGCTCAAACTTCAGGATGGATTAGTTTCTGATCAGAAAAAAAAAAAGAACTACAATAAACAAATACATAAATAGATATAATAAGAGTAAGAGTTTCAAGCCACTGGGTTACATGGTAGAGCTGAAGCATGTCAAAATGTCATCCAGTATGAAAACTCAAATGTCTTTCGATAAATAATGATGCCATTTAAGAGAGAGACTGCATCAAATTGCATCTAAGGATGCATACAAAGAGCAAAATAAATTTCAAGGACATTCAAAAAAGATCAAACGAGAGACACCCTACATCCAGCCTCTTGGAGAGAGCTTAAGATCACATCCATGTGCACCAGCAGTCTGTATGGACCAGACAGCTTATGCTCCGAACCTTCTGGTATATAGTATGCTTACAGAAGTGCTAAGTTTTAAAGAATTTAAAATTTCCATAAACAAGCACTAGAAATCAACAAAAAAGAAACAGAATTGCAAAAAATAAAAAAATATTAAAAAAAAAAAAGTAGAAAGAACTTGAAATTAGATGACCAGGAGAACTAAACAACTTTTTTTCTCTTTTTTTGACACTGTAAACAACCTTAAAAAAGAACGGAACAATTGAATCTATCATGTTTTCTTTTCTTGGTCCATAACAAAAAATATATTAATAAGTTTAGATTTTTTTTTTTTATGCTGTTAATAAGTTTAGATTTTATTAATAAATCAATTGTAATTACCACATATCAATTGATTGAATCTAGTGTAGAAGAAGTTGCATTAGGAAATGACAGTAGGATCTTCACAAATCTAGCATAAGGTTATTTCCATAGACATTTCATAGGAGTGCCCGACTCCATAAGTGTCTCCACTAGTTATATATAATCAGAAACCCTACTAGTGCAAAAATTACCTTGACAACTTTTGCATGTTGCATCTAAAATTAAATCACACTTTCCTATTTACAATGCCAACCATGAACAAGCCCTCAAGCAACTCCATCTCTTTGAGAACACAAACACACAAAGAAACTGGGGAACCCATCATCTAGAGCAACTTTCCAGGTGCCTTTTCAAAGAGCTCCCGGGACAAATTGTCCAAATCTAATCCAATACGGAATATTGTCAAAAAAACTCTGTTAATCAAGGATCTTTCAGAAGCCTAAGCATCCAACAAATGCCCACTTTTAGATTTAACTTCGAGAACCAGCTCCATATAATTCCAACTCCAGCACCCAACAAATTGATATTCAAATCTATATGGACCTACACATTGGAAAATTAACCAAAGACTATAATACATTGAGTAACCCTATTGTCATATTGACATGAAGAGAAAATCAATAATCAAATGCGAGGGATCACTGAAGTACACACAAACCTCGACAGCACTGGCCACTTGACCTCAAGGAACGACTTCATAGATTTCTTGTTTCTTTTATTTTTTGAGAAACAAGAAAAATTTCTGCCAGCAGTGATATTCGAGATTGACACCAAATCAAATGGGAAAAAGCATAAAACACTAAACCCACATTGTGCTCTTACACATTCAATGCATCTCTGGATATATAGTTCTAGAGCAATTAAAGCAGGAACAAATAGATATAGTAACAGAGCAATTCCAGGGAAACACTTCCGATATAGCACTATCTGATGACCCTCTCAAATGTTATGAACTCCCCAGTCCTCTATATCCGAACCCTAATTACCATCTCCCTGGTACATGTAGTATGAAAGCAACAATATATCCCATCTGTCTTTTTTTAAAAGCGTATTTCAGTCACCAATGCCGCATACAACTCCAACAAACCCCTCATAATTAATGAAAACATGAGGAACTTGCTGACTTAGAGAGGAAACAAAGCAAGAACCTGTTCAAACTTCAAATAGTTCATGGTCTATAAGAATCCCAGGAATCATCTAGTGTGCATGCCCATTAATCACCAATATAATTCGGTAGGTAATCATTTGGAGGGAGGATGTCAAAGAACTCATAACCTCTAAATTTTAGCCATTCCACATAAAGCATACAAGTTACCTGAAGTCCCATCATGTTTATACTAGCAGCAGGATTCTCCACACCATGGTGGGCTTCAAAGAGCTCTAAGACCAATGAATTCCAATAGTCCAGGCAGACCTATGCAAGGAAAATACAGTGCACATTCATGAAGAATGTAAATGGGTTACAAAGGAAAATAAGGGGCAGGTAATATTATTTAATACCTTAAAAACCTCGGTATCATCCACATAAGAAATTCCAATTAAATACTCAAGACCCATTAGAAGTGCAGCGCGATTTTCAGGTGTGGATTCAAGAACTCGAATGTGAGACTGCATAATAAATATCCAAATCAGATGCAGATAATCTCTATAGTGATCAGAACTGTCTCCATCACAAACATACTGAACAATTAAATGGACTCGGCACTCGCTGAGTACTCAATCAGCCAAACAAATAAGTACATGTTTCAAACCATTAACCTTATCATCAAAAGCACCAGGAAACCCCATCCTGCAAGCAATAAATCGAGTTGCAAAGTACCACGACCTACTCAGATTCCTAAGAAGCACATATTACTATGCAATTCAAGTAGTCAAGCTGCAAAAAGAGAACTTGCCTTGAAAAATGAAGTGAAGAAAAGCGCCAGGTTCTGAATGAATGCCTGGACAGTAAACCAAAAATATATCGATTACTGGAAGACTTGGAAACAACTACATTTGACCAAAAGAATCTGATTACTTGATAAAGCATAGCCATGCATGAAATAGGTTACAGCAGCAAGCATCAACAATGAAATGACACAACATCCAAATACCTGCTCGTCACTGGAACCATTTGCATAAGCATCCGGGATATTGGTCCCAGGTGGGAGTATAGTCTATTATCCAAAACCAGGCATCAAAATTTAGAAGAACTCAAAGTGATACCACAAAAGGTTGAGACCACAACAACATGATTAATAATGAGGAAAAAACTCTCTTCAAAACAGTGAAGACATAAGAAAGGATACCATAAGAAAATCACAAAGAATTCAATCTCAATGAGCGTTAAGAACATAACCTATCCGACAAAATCATTATACCTGTAAATGCACCATGAAAATGTTGTACAGTTTGACATAATGCATGTCGTAATAGTCTCCAATGTGAAGAGCAGCAACCTGGAAGAAGCAAAAAATTGAGAAATGTAAAAGAACTAAGCGCATTTAGAGAATCCTTGAGATGTTGCAAGTAGCAAAAGCTGGGTAACAGCAAGTTACCTCAGTCAAACACTGAAGAGTCAGGTTTCTATAAGATGCCAATGGAAAGAAATTCAACAATGTCTCCAACTATTCAAAAACCAACAAAAGAGCAAGTGTGTCAGACTCACATGTTGATTGTCTAGACATATGATTAAAATACAAAAACCATCTTTGTTAACCAGGTAAAACTCATGAAACAATTCCAATTTCACATGGATATTACTTTGAAGTCATGGAAGTACAAACCAGGGGAGACTCAAAAATATAACCAACAGGAATCCATGACAGAAAAGCATTAAGTGTCGCTAATGTTGCCCGTATCAGCTCTGTCATTTGAGATGCTGATAGAACATATAAGCATAACTCATGTATGAGTTGAAACTCACTGCACAAACCAAAGAAATGTATCAGCAAATTCTAAACCGTCTACCCCCAATTTAGTAAGGAAGGGCAAAGTAGTGTCTTGAAATACAACAATCCCAAAAATTCAAACTTATCTCACAAAATCCTACAGACATTGTGACATGTAGATAAAGTCAAAGACTGTATGCTGTAAGCAGAAGTATCCAAAAGAACAAGGAATCTTAATCATAGCATTTACAGGAAGGCAATATGTGTATATGGCATTACCACAAAACGAGTATGCTGCTACATGCTTATACATAAACAGGGAGGAGGAAAATCTAGCAGAGTAAGTGGAAAGTAATCTAAAAAAAGCATGTTTAAACAATATTTAGAAGTTTGAACAGTTACAGAGCAAAGAATAGCCAAGAAGAAGATTCAGAAGGCACTATAAAAAGAGAGCCAGAAGGGGAACATCACCAAACCTGTTCAATGACTGTTTTAGTTCTTTGATTTTTTGCTGTGTCATTTCACCTCGCGAGAAATCAAAAACCTCTTCGCTCAGAAGCTGAATACCAAAGATTGCATTAGTTAAAAGAAAATGGAGTTACCATATTTGTAAGGAAATTCCCTAGAAGCAACAATACCTTCAATATAGCCATGCAATTTTCACATATTGTCTCACTACTCTTGGCAGCTGAAACAAGGTCAGGAATGAATGTCGGCCATCTGGCAGGCCATTCATGCTTCAACACCTACATTGTTATATAACACAGATAAGTTACAACTTGAAAAGGAAAAGATGATTAAAATGGCAGACTAATTTATCAACTCAAACCAGACATCTTAAGTGTCCAAGAACCTAAACTGGTTGAAAGACCCTACAAGAATGGTTATAGTAAGGCCAATTACTTCTCATAGATTAGAAATTCTAAGACTATCCTTATTTATTGCATTAAAACTTCAAAATGCAAAATATCACATCATTTGGATGGTACAGTGCTCAGAAAAGGAGTAACATGAACCTTGATGCAAATTACCTGAACAAGTATTATATTCAATTTATTGACGTAAAGCCTCTCCCGTCGGAATGAAACTTCATTACTCGAGAGCTATACAAGGAACACGCATCACAAAATCATATATGTTAATAAGAGAACTTGTAGAAACATAATATGAAAAAAAGAAATAACATAATATTCTCAATCACTTTCTTTCCCTCTCCCTCTCACCCTCTCTTTCTCTCACTAAATCCACCATTTTTTTAATAGTGGCATTCACATGTCTCTCCTCTTTTGAAGAGAGTATTGAGCAACGGGTTGTGGGTCGCCACATTTTTTTAGATGCATATCAAAATTATCTTTTGATATATTAACAGTCAACTCGTTTCAAAAAAAATACAGCAGAAAGAACAAAGCAGGAATATTAAAGACAAACCTATAGTTAAGAATACAAAACACAAACTGAAGAATTTGGCATACCTGTACAATGAGATCCGATATGTAATTTTTTATCCCATCTCGCTGGTCAACTGGCAGCGCATTCCATCTATATTTGATAACACCTTCAAGAACCTGTATAGAGCAAAACCAGCAATTACTAATTATTTAACAAATAAATTTTTGTAGAACATCAGAATACAAACTGCATCTAGAGCATCCATCAAGAATAGCAAGCACTCATTCAAAAACAACGCCAGAAGTTCACCATAGATTCTACCATAAGATCAGATATAATAGAAAAGATTATACAGACATCACATTGTTATGACTCCAGACCAGTAATTATTTTCATTATGTATCATTTATTGACCATTAAATAACTATACAAAACTATCTTTCTGATCAAGGTTTTCCAGGCATGCCAACCCGGGCCTCGTGGAAACTCTCAGCAACCATCCAGAGATTCTACCACAACAATTAAACAGAAAAAATAGGACAGACTATAGAGAACACATTCTAATGACTGCCAATCAGTGATTATTTTTCTTTTTATATCATCTACTGATCATCAAACATTTATTCAAAACTGAGGAAGGACAATAAAGAATAGGAAAGATGGGAAAGTCCCCAGTTGGAGAAAGACCAACATTAAAATAGATACAGGCTGTTTCCCTGACAAAGGCAGGCTCAGCCCCAGTTAATGGAAGAAGCCAACAGAAAACTACATGGGACGTCCAATAACAAGGTCGACTTATTAGAGAAGAAGAGGAGTGGCAAGTCGTTTAACAAGGAGCATAGGCCAACAAAGAAGAAGACTCAATGAGGTACAGAGGGCTTCTAGGCCTGCCATGAGCAATAAGCCCGGATCAATCACGGGATTTAGATACGTTAATGAACAACTGGGAGAAACTCACAGGCTAGGAATGAAATGATGTCAGTATCAATAATAAACTAATCTATGTTAGTTCAAATGCTTACTGAGAGCATCAAACAAAATAATGGCAATTAGAACAGAAGCAAAAGGAGATCTTAGAAACTATATTTCAGATTGTACCAAAGAAAATGCAACGTCATATAACAGGAAAATTCATATACATGCCTCAAATGGACAACCAGCATAACCAGAAAAGTGCAATCCAAATAGCCCACAACAAAAAAGATGACAATTTATAGAAGCACCATAAACTTTGATTTAAAGAAGATAACACACACCCCCCCCTTCCCCATGCCACCCCCAACAGACCAAACCAAAAGCGACCAAGAGCTCTTAAGAAATTGCCTGAAGTGCAAAGAACTTGGTATTCAGATTCTGCGAGTTCTGCAGAATGTGAACCACTTGCAGCCACGTATCTGGATTGTTCTGTAACTCTCGCAAAATTTGATCTGCAGCAGCCCTCTACATATAGAAACAATAGCACATTCGTTAATTTCCAGAACACTGGTACATTAAAATTCATGAGAAAGATAAAAAAGTAAAGGGAAAGCCAGTAGACTTAAACTATGATAGACAGAGCCTGTAGTACGAGGATCAACTCGAAGATAGATAGAACATAAAGAAATGAATAACCACTCAATAATTATGCAGGTTAAATCCAAGACACAATGCATACCACTATCAGTACAGGACTTTACCAACTAAAGAAAAGTACCACAGAAAGTCAAATAGAGGACAGATACATTCATATAAGAAAAGAAAACTTAAAAAGGCCATTGCAAACTCGAGAGTTACAATAGAGGATGTTAGAGATAAATCAAGTATCACCAATCTCTCCGTTAATACATAATCTCAGAGATACATAACTGTAACTCAACAACGTAACCCTGCAGTTATATACATGCATATGCCAATCCAAGATACCTTTTCTGGACAAAATAGAAACTTCTAAATAAAACAAAAAATACATGGTCCGAACTTCATGCCTCACCTGACTTATTCATAACTTAGGTTTCCTTTTAATTAATCTGGCACTGAGTTACACCAAGTTGTAGCAGTTTATCGAAGACTCGCCAAGTCCACCCAGACTCAACCGAGTTACTCAGACTCACACCCTTGCAAATTAAAAAACTCGGGTAAAACTCAAGGTAATTAAAAAAATGAAAAATAAAAATATGTTTACTTATGAAATCAATGTATAAGTATTTCATATGTAATTTGGATTTTGTATGATGATTTGTGAGTTTTTCTTGTCATATGCCCTATCTTTATATTTCCCCCTTTTTGGATTCTCTGAAATCTCGGGCCCTAAATCATTTTTTTCGTATATCCATGTTTTGTATTTTTTCCATCATAGTTGGACTTTTTATGTTGTTTTTAGTTTGCTTTGATTTTTACTATTTTTATTGTATTTTGACCTTCGTTTTAAATTTCTTTTTTTTATTTTTTTGGGGCTATTTTGGCTCTGTACACTACTCAGGCTAGTCCAGGTCAAGTTACTAAGCTCATGCAATGCCCAAGTCCCAAACCCGAGCCGAGTTTGTGAACCTTAAGCAGTAGTAATCAGAGGTGAATAAATCATTATCAATCCCATCACTTTTTCCATGCATCATCTCAGAGATACATATAAATGCAACTTCAAAACAAATGGATTCAGCTGTGATGAACATAATGCTATGCTCATCCAAAACAAGAAATCTTTCTGGATAAAGTTCACAAGATCCAACATTCAAGCCTTGGTGGACCTATAGACTCAGCACTTGTTTTGGTAATTATTCCTAGGCTTTGTCAACTAGCACAACAGCCATCTTCATCAACCAGCCTATAATGACTCTGAAGTGACAGCTTAATCTTAATAGTTTAAGAAGCAGCATACCATTAATTCTGGACCAGGTGATACATGTAGAATGGAAACCAATCAAAGACACAATCAACAAACACTAGGAGCGAACATTTTCTTACAACAGTTCAGCATCATAACAACACTCTTAGGGTTGCCCAAACAATTACCAAACACAGTAATTCTTAATATCACCATAGTGATTATTGCACGAACAATAGAATAATTATTAGTCTTCCTTCTACATATTCTTAGAACCGCAGCACTTGAAATCCATAAATACAATACAGAACCAACACTATTACTGTGATAACGGCTGTTATTACATCATTTTTGAGACTTTTTCTTTTGTGCAGGATAGAGCAGGGCAGGGACACACAGGCAGATATATGTGTGTGTGTATGAAATTCAAACATAAACGACACTAGAGGTCATCTACATTTATCCAAAAGAAAGAATTGATAGTCATTTTTTAATTAGAGTCTATGAAGAAACATCTTCTTGAGAGTTTGGCAATGGCAATATTTATTTAGGCCCCGTCTGGATGTTTTGGTAGTTACATCTAGGGAATATCTATAGTTGGCCTTGCTACAATTATGAAAAAAATTAACGTCTTCAATGGTCATAACAAAGTGGAAGAGTATCCAATAGGTTTTTTCTGTTGTATCTGATAGGGAATATCACCCCTTTTTGGCAACATTTTGCTGATTAGAGGAGTTCCAGAAGTATCCAATAGGTTTTTTCTGTTGTATCTGATAGGGAATATCACCCCTTTTTGGCAACATTTTGCTGATTAGAGGAGTTCCAAAAGTTTGGAACCACCATGAATAGAGGCATTCCAAGCTGGCACACCACCTACTAGGGTGCAATTATAAGGGAGTGACACCACCAAAAGAGGGTGTAGACATAAGGGGTGTTACCTTTTGCAAATAAGTAGACACAAAAAGTGAAACTTCCAGTAGCTTATGATGATCATTTCAACTGCTAAAGCATGCAAATACAGGCTGAATACATAGATCTAGATCCCTGTACATTTCTTATTCGATGGTTAACTCTTTCAACAAATTAAGTTTGGTGGTTAACTATGATGGATAGAGACATGTAGACAAGAAAGGAACAAAACAAGCACATAGGAAACAAATGGAAAGACACCAAACAAGAAATTGGAGAAAACTAGCCAAATGTAATAGCATCCCCAAAAAAAGGGCACCTAGTTCTTCCAAGGTCAAACAACACGCAATTAGCTTCTCTTAGAACATAAGAGCAAAGAAGCGCCAAGCAGAGTAGAGGATTCCTCCAGGAGATCAGCCAGTCTCTTTGGGTACATGCTATCTTGTCTAACCCATCTGATAACACTGAACGAATCTCTCTCTAACATTGAAAGATAGAGCAACTTCCCAATGTCATTTCACTCCACTCTAGTCAAGTCACAAGCACCACTAAGAATAAACAGAACTTTTGCACAACCTCCAATCAGTATCTGAGAACACCATGAACCACTGAGGACCAGGGCTCCCAAAAGAACTTCCATCAAAAATGAGGTACAGCATCCCAGCCTCTTCCAATCACCCAGCAAATTCTCAATTTCGTAGATACTTGTTATCCATCCCCAGACTCTAATTAAATCCACAGCTCCACAAGTACAAGGCAGGTGCATCGTGAATCCTCTCACAAACCTTTGCCATTATAATGTGAGAATGGGAGGACCACAAATTCTTGAATGAGAAATGCAAACTTAGTGGAAGACCATTCTGTCACCTCAGAGCTTCTTTCAGTATTATAAAGTGCCAATCAAATAACAAAATTTCTCATGAATCAGACAAGAAGATCTTTTATCCAAGTTTCTTTTCTTTATAGCTCTAATAACAAACCTTCAAAGTTTGAACTCAGAACATGACCAACAATTCCATTCAACAAATAGGCCAATAGCAAACAAAACAACTATCACAGAAATACAGTTAACATAAAAATAAAAAAAGGTCAAACCTCAAACAGCCCTAATCAAAATCTTTCAAACACACTTTCCAACAAGTGTGCAATAAACACCGTAATATTAGTGGACCGCTAGAAGCACCCCCTACAGGTATGATACGATCATCCATTCCAACTCAAGCAACCGAAATTGCAATTAACCGATAACCATAACTTCAAAAGGCCTTCAAGTTCAAGTTCCAGTAGACTGGCTTGCCTCCCTCTGATTTTTTCCTCGACTCGCTAGACGAGTGTCCCCTTCACGTGCCACCATGAGTTTATCTTAATTTCTTACACGCTTGCCACTATGACTTTATCTTAATTTCTCACTTGCTCCAATCCTGGAGAAATACCAAACTCTGATGTAATGCCCACAGCATTAGACCAATTACTTCCTCCCTTAACCACAACTTTCTTGCAAGTAAAATATCTACCATTAGAAATCAAAACTCTTTTCCAACGACAGAGCTTTGCATCCAATTATGCACCCTTAACAGCAGTGCCTAAGATCGTTGTTAAAAAGATGGCCAGCAAACACTGTTTGGTTCTTGCATATGTGTAGTTTTATCCCAAATAAATAAATATATATATATATATATATATATATATATATATATCAAAACGTACATATTAATTAGGACAAACTTAAGATACAAAATCATATACAGCAGTATGTAAGAACGCTTCACCAGCAAAAAGTGTCAGCTGACAATGAATCAATTATGCTCTGCAAGAGCCTCTTTTACTTGTTATGCTCCATAAGGGCATTCAAACAAGCCTCAAGATAAACCCAGAGGCAAGTCTGGTTAAAAATCAGTTTTCTATAAGGAATAACTACAATCACATTGGAATTACATTATCAAAAAAAAACAAGTGAGTTAACCTTTCCTCAAAAAAAAACCAATGAGTTAACCTTTCCTCAAAAATAAAAAACAATACATCCCAGGGGATCAATAGTAAAAAGGAGTAATCTTTCCTGAGAAAAGTGCGCAAAAAAGCACACAGCAATGATAATTTTGAGAACTTGTACATCACAAAAACCACAGATTTAAGATGAATTAACAAGATAGCTTACATCACAAGCAATAAAAAATCATAAAGCCTGCAGCTATAAAAGGGAAAATAATGAAGTCCACATAGAAATCCTAGACTAAACAAGTCGATTGAGTAAAACCAAGAGGAAGTAAATAACAAGTTTACTACAATAGACGAAAACCCTAGAACTAGTCCACCAGTGCCAGCCCCAAAAAAAAACTACATTTTCCAACTCTGCAAAGCACAACGTCCCCAACAAACTACTTGAACCTCACAATCATAATCAAACGCTCCATTACCACAACAGTATGAATCCATCCATGAACCATTCCTTTCAAATCCAAACCAGTAAATAAAACTAACGCCATGGCTAATGGTGCATGCCATACCTCCTCTTTAGATCCCGTGCCATAGAAAGCAGCAACAGTTGCATCAAGCAACGGAACGTCTATCGGCTGGCTCAGGTCCCTGAGCTTTTCAGCCATGGCCATAAAACCCCGTGTAAAAGCAAGGATTCCTGAACCAGAGCTAAACCCTAGGAAAAAGCCCCCAGAGTCGGAGTTAGAGAGAGAAACAGTGACTTAGAGAGAGAACTAAGAAAACCCTAGTTATTATCCGTTCTTTGGAGTGATTTTCAGAGGTGTAGACTTTAGAGAGAGAAAGTCCAGTGCCGCGGAGAGACGCAACTTTGAAGCGGTTTTCCCACCCTTTCCTCTCTCTCTCCTCCCCTCTCTCTCTTATACGTGTTTTTTCGTGTGCACCTCTGCTTCGCTCTTCTTCGGTTCTATTGAGGTTCAATTTAGAGAGAGAAAGGTGCAGGTCTCGCTCGAATGTGAGGTATGTCATTACAATATTGCCGAAATTGCCCTTGAACTTTTCCAAATAAGGTCGAAACTACCCCTGATAAAGCCTTCTAGAGTCTCGATATGCCCTCCGGCCGGGCCATTGTGCTCTCCTCCTGATGCCAACTCACGTGTTTTGTTTTGTTTTTTTTGCCCTTCTTGAGTAGTAAAATTGACCCAAATAGCCCCGCTTAAGATAAAAAAATTAAAAATGAAATAAAGAGACTCACGTCTCTTTGTAATAACGTATCATCAAAGCTTTTTTTTTCAACTATTTAGCGTCGATAATATAAATCATAGTCTACCATTTTACTCTATCAATGATCATACCTTTCGGACGTATCTGTTTTTCTGAAAGATTTCTTTTGAAAAGTTTAATATTTTTAAAACTTTTGAAAAGTTGAATGTTTTATTCTGAAATATTTAAATAAGTTATGGGTACTATATTTCATAACATGTTGGAATGTTAAGAAAGTTTTGAGTACTGTATTTGATTATCTGCTGAAATGTTGAATAAGTTCAAGATAGCTGTATTCGATTCACCCTATAACTTTTGAACTGGAGACATGTCAAACCGGTTTGAACCATCTATTCATTTTTTAAAGTGATATGGAGAAGATTTATGAAAAAAAATTATGACTTTCTCAATCTTCTAATTCCATCGCAAAGTTTAAATTATTGTTGTTACTATTATTATGAACTTAATTTCAATTTTGATCCATCACCATGACAAAAGAGTCGCTATTGTTTCTTAATAATATGTCTCGGAACTTGTAATTGCATACCAAGTTAAAATTGAAATCAATATATTTTCTTGATTATTGTGGATTTATAATTTGTTGAGTCATATTACAATTATGAAGTGAACTAGGTGTTTAAATATCACAACTAGGCAGTCGATGCCTTTCTTCCTTAACTAAATGGAAACTCTTTCTCTCTCTCTTCATTTTCATAGTATTGGTTCTCCCTCTTTCAAACCAAATTTTGCATTCCTACTAAAACTTTGGAGAAAACAATCCCTCTCTAGTATGTACATAACTAAATATTTGCATGGTCAACATATGAGCAATTGTTTGGTAATGGAGAGTGGACCATCTGAGTTGTCAACCCTGCCTAAAACATATGCAACTTCTCTGTACAAATTGACTTTAAATTTTGGAGGCATTCAGCGAGGTACATGTTGTTGATTATTTATGTAAATAATGGCATGTTGTTCATTATTATCTAACAAACTATGACAATAAGATGTGAAACAATGCTATACAATCTCTCTCTCTCTCTCTCTCTCTCACACACACACACATGCACGCTTATATACTTTGCCGATCATGGCAATTATGGATGTGGTTTCCTGTATTAAATTGGATTCTACTATTGTTTGCCCAATAATTTGGCAATTTTTTACAGAAGCTTAATAATTTGTCAAATAGTAGTATATGAACCAACCACCAAATAGTAGTAAATGAACCAACCACTATGAAATTACTTGAGTACGTCACACCAATTAGACATTCAATAATTTGTAGACAACTTAGTGGCATACATTCACCACTCATGCATCCATATCCCAACCTCAAAAAAAATATCATTCAACAATAACCCATAATAGCTTTAACGAAACATACAACCACACATTCACAATTCATGTATTCATATATAACATTGTTCAAAACCAGCCAATTCAACAATAACCTGTAATAGCTTGAATACAACTTAGTGATATACATTCACCATTCATGCATCCATATCCCAACCTCAAAAAAAAATCCATTCCACAATAAGCTATAATAGCTTTAGTGAAACATACAACCACGCATTCACAATTCATACATCCATATACAACTATATACAAAACTAGACCATTCAACAATAACATGTCATAGCTCGAACACAACTTAGTTACATACATTTACCACTCATGCATCCATATCCAAACCTCAAAAAATAAAATCTCATTCAACAATAACATGTAATAGCTTGAGCAAAACATACAAACACACATTCACAATTCATGCATCCTATAAAACCATATACAAAACCATCCCATTCAACAATAACATGTAATAGCTTCAACACTACTTATGACATACATTCACCACATATGCATTTGTGCTTGTCCCATATTGTTCCTAACATTAAACGAAAAAAGACAACAATTAAAACTATAATGAAAGCAAAGACTTGATGCCTAGGAAGATAGTCTTCAAATGCCGATATGCCTTTAGGAAGACATCAACACCTAATCCATACCCCATCCACATGGCTTCAATCCGAACCATCCCTTGCTCCCTTGCTTCAGTGCCAAGTATCTTCTTCAATTCGTGGAAGTATATAGGCAAATACTTGCCTTTGTATTTTTTCATAAAACTAAACTCCTGTAAATAGAACACAAGTATGTATTTTTGTGTGAACATCACACTAAAACTTGCAAATCCACAAAGAATTAGACAGCAATGCATTTCAACTCACTGTTGTACACTTCGCCCATAGGGCTGGTCTGGCAGCGACCATTCGACTAGCCTCATCCCTGCCAAAACCTGGTCGTCTTCTAAGTTGTTCTACTTCCATGTACATTGAAACTTAAACTTACTCTTCAGCAGTTCCAAGTCATAAAAATTCCCATAATTACCTACTATGTACTCTACCATCCAGTTCCATGCGCCTTTTTTTAACCCCCCCTTTCTTGACCTCTTTCAACAAGAGATCGACGAATTGGGCCTCCTCTACAGGGTTCCACTATCTCATATTGTTATGCTAATATTTGGCACTTATAATAAAAAGCCTCTATCCTTTCTTTAGTAGGTCAACTGGTATTAAGCTGATGCATGTCAACCAACAATACACTCCTCAATAAGAACAACATTATACAACTAGTAAGAAACATCTATGATATACCCTAATCATATTTGAGATGCTTTCAATGCTTGACAAAATCACCTTACGAAACAACAATAACTTGTAATAGCTTAAGTGAAACATACAACCACACAGTCACAATTCATGCTTCCATATACAAGCATATACAAAACCAATCCATTCAACAATAACTTGCAATAGCTTTAAAAATACACAATTGAAAATGCAATAGAATGAACACAACTCAGTGACATACATTCACCACTCATGCATCTTATATACAATCAATCAAAAACCAGCCCATTCAATAATAGCCTGTAATAGTTTAAACGTACAAAATTGAAAATGCAATAGAATGAGCAAAACTTAGTGGCATACATTCTCATGCATCTTACATACAATCAATAAAAAATCAACCCATTCAACAATAACCTGTAATAGTTTAAACATACAAAATTGAAAATGCAATAGAATGAATAAAATTTAGTGACATACATTCACCACTTATGTCCTAATCCGAACCTATAGAAAAACATACCATTCAACATTCACTTGTAATACTGAGACAACATAATTGTAATGGTTCCAAAGTTGTCTAACATATTATCATCTTAAATCTTATAAAGAAAAAAAACAACAATTACAACTATAATAAACGCAAAGATTTGCACAAGCAATAGTTATCGTGATTAACTACTGCATTGGTGCTTGGCCCAAATTGATCCCTCTCGTAGCCATGGAAATGTTGTTGGGTAACGAAATCATATGTGCTTGATCTTTGTGACATATTATGAAGATTATATGTTGCTTTCGCTTCCTCCCTAGTTACGTAACCCTTAAACTCTGAGTTTCTTAAATATTTAACATTACACTCACACTCGCCCCAAGCGTCATATACCCCTGGCCAATTGCCCTTAAAGACAACGTAACAATTATTGCGGCCCATTTCCTATATAGACGAATGGACAAGAATGGCAAACGAAATATGAAACTGCATATACTTGAATTGCACGATATTACCTATTGATGTTAAAACATCAAAGAATTTGAAAGAAGCATAAACCATCCAAATACCACATATACCAACATGCAAATAACTTTAATAGAGATGGTTTTGAAGTGGGAAAGTTGCCACATCATACAGTTTATAAAAAAAAGGAACATACATGGTCAAATAATTGAATTCCAAGACTATCGATCAAACGGTATCAAATAATTGCATTTCGACAAACCTAGCGATTTACATATGTTATATAAATAAAGAAACCTAGTGATTGACATATGCTTGCCACAACTGAGATGCAATTGCATCTCGAAGTTCAACACCGTCATCATGATCGTTTTGTCATTGAGTTGCTTGTGTATACCCATCTTCTGCCCCCTCTATCGTGCATTATTTCAACTCTCTATTGGAATCTCATTTCTCGTCAGGTATTCGATCCTCGCATAGTTAGCAAGTTGGGGACTATCAATAAATCGTCTCATTATAAAATCGGAAATAAATGGATTTTATTTTTAAAAGTTGGATAAAAAATCGGGTAAAAAATACGGATCGGCAAAAATACTTAATGTAAATATATCGTCGATATATCGGACTAGGCTCAAAAAAGCGAAGTAAAAAATCGGATATGTTTAAAATATAAAAAAAATTGAAATTCTAAAAAATAAAAATTATGTCAACGTCATCGATAATTAATCCATCACGAAAAACTTTATTAAACTATTATAATTAAGTCAATTAATTTAGATGTCTGTTAACTAGTATTGGAATTCGTATTTTTTTTTTTTGTCCATTGGAGGGTTCTCCTACACCAAAGCACTCTCCACCGTAGGATTTTTGAGATGCACCTCACTTCAACGGTATAAGGTTGCAACCTTAAAATAAACTATTTTCCTCAAATAATAACCTCTTTCTCTCTAAATTAATAACGATAATACTCTCTCTCTAAATTATTAATGACACGGTTCTCTCTCTCACTGAACAACTCGATTTTCTCTCTCAAAACATTTAAAACAACCTTCTCTCTATATCTCAGAGGTCAAAACAAATCCCATGGTGGTTCACTCTCTCTAAACTGGGAAATCTCTATA